GCGACGAGACAAAAACAATAAAACCCATTATAAACGAGGCATTTGTTGCATCCAGTGGGGACATAATTACTGATAATAATTACTTATACTGTCTTTTTTATTCATTGCGTTGCATCGCACCGCATAAACATAAAAGCATGACTGCATTTGTGATCGGAGAAACGACAAACAACAAGTGCTACTCTACATTTTCATTTCTCTCACTGTTAAACACTACATTTTATTCTCTTGCTACAATGTGCTAAAAGTAACTAAAGTCAGAAATGTTTCAAGATAATAGACATATTTCAAGATTTAACTTTCTCTCTAGTAAAGTTGTTAGTAGCTTTTTTAGTAATTTTTACTGACTGTTGCTGTTAAAAAGGGTTTTCCTTTCAAGAAATATTTAGCATTGATATATACATTCTTTTCTCTTTCTCAATCTTTCTAAGGTATGCCATGGCTCGATTCAACTACTACTTTGAAAAGAAGCAAGAGTTCTTTGGAATGAAGCTTCCTTGATTCTTCTACCAGCCTAGTGCAAGAGGTTCTGAAAGAGCCTATCCATCCTAATATCACACATATTCTTCCTATATTTAGTTTAAGTATGAACAATGATCATACTCATTTGTAGGACTGAAAGTTAACAAAAACATTTGTTTTCCTGTTACAACTCCTTCTCTACCAAAACGCCCATTTGGAATTCCTAAAAAGGTATAGTGATCAAGGCCTATAGGCTGAGATGTTTATGATTAATTAAATACATATAAATATATGAATAGAAAAATATAAATATGAAATAAAATTAAAATAACCCAGTAGATCTGTGGTTCTCAACCCTGTTCCTGGAATACCCTCAACACTACATATTTTGAATGTCTCTTTTGTCTGACCCATCCATTTGAGCTCTTGGATTCTCTACCAATGAGATAATGACCTGAATCAGGTGTGAATTAGGGAGACATATGAAATCAAAGTCCATTTACGGCAAGTCATTTCACTCAGTGGCAATCTTTGCCACCTCTCGTGCAACTATTTCAGTCATGCAAGTACAGCTCCCATCTCTTCGAATGGGGAAGCATAAAAAACAATATATATATATATATATATATATATATATATTATTTAGTAGATGGGACTTCGCCATAGTGTGTTTTTCCCATGGTGTGGGTACTCCCCCTGCAAACAAGCCTGCTGGCCCTTTACGGGCCCACTTTGGGCTGCCAGCGCAGGGCCCCTGAGAATTTGCTCATTGGCAAAACGTTGGCCCTTAGCACTGGCCCTGCACGGGCAGCCCTCACTTAGCCTCCAGGAAGCCTTAGCGCTGTTTTATTGAAAATAATAAAGTTTGAAGTCACCGTTATGGAGGTAAGCGCTTGCTTTAGTGCGGTTCCTGACCCTTGACTTTTTAATCTTGTTTTTTTTCAGGGTGCTGTAACTGTTTCTGAAGCACATTTGTTATCGCAAAAGTTGCAAGAAGAAAAACTGTTCTGATGAGTCAGTTATCAAATTGAATTTCATGGCAAAGTTTCATGCAGTGGTATTCTAGGAATGCTACAAAGTGAACTTATTAAATCTAGATAATGTTCTCAGAGAATAGCCTCTGGATGAGATCAGTGAATCAGGACACTACACGAAGCCTGAATCATCAATTAACCATCACCATGTGATCAGTTTGTCTTCTCACAAGTTTTGCTATAACAAATGCGCTTCAGAAACAGTTATATCAGTCAAAGAAATATTAAAGTTATGAAGTCAAGAGCGCAACTAAAGCAAGCGCTTACCTCCATAATGGTGACTTCAAACTTGATTATTTTCAATAAAACAGCGCTAAGGCTTCCTGGAGGCTAAGTGAGGGCTGCCCGTGCAGGGCCAGTGCTAAGGGGCCAACGTTTTGCCAATGAGCAAATTCTCAGGGGCCCTGCGCTGGCAGCCCGTAAAGGGCCAGTGCAGGGTTGTTTGCAGGGAATACACGTGTAATCATTGTGAGACAAGGATGCACGCTTATCAGACAGGATTTAAACTTTGATGGGCCGAATCAGAAGTATTATTTTCCAGAGGTGGGACTTTCAAGTCACAAGCAAGTCTCAAGTCAAATCCCAAGTCCTCAAAGAGTTAAAGTTAATGAGATAATTAAGTGACTAATTAAATGATGATTGTGCATTAGTAATGAACACCTGCTGTCAATCAACATCATTGAAGAAAAGAGAAACACAAGAACTATGACTGACTTCAACCACAGCCTTAGATAAAATCATCTGAAAAAAAAAACAAAACACGATATCACCATAATTGTGCTCAAGGTTTGTTTGAGTTGGTCTCTTAACCCTTTTCTCCTCATTGTAGAGCACTGGCATCATTTTAACCAATAAAACATCAACATCTGTAATTCCCAATAACAGCAGGTGTTCATCACTAATGCACAATCATCATTTAATTAGTCACTTATAATTATCTCATTAACTGTCTGACAATGGTAGATGGATCATTTTGTATGTAAAACTGAAAATGGTATATTTATTATTTGTAATGTTTATGGGCAAAAATCACGAGCTGCAAATGATTCATGCCCAAAGAACTGGATGCAAAGCTCGTTCGCTTAGAAATGCCACTTTATTAATAATTATTTGATTATAACTGGAGATTTCAACAAAACTCCTGCTGAGGCTTTTTAAAAATAAATAAATAAATAACAGTGATTGTAGAGAGGCTTTACTTGGTCCAACAAATCTGGATATCTTAAAGCTAGTAGTAGATCTTTTTGTAATTTCTCATGCTATTTTGAAATATGTTTTTGGCTTTTAATCATCAGTTTATTGGAAACCATAGTATGTTTATGGTTTGCACTTTATAAATAAATGTTTGACAAAGAAAACAAAAAGAAAAAACATTCTGAATTGTACATGCTATTTGAAACAATCATTTTAAAGTACACTCGAGTTGTATGGGCTGAATATACAATATATACATAGCATTCTGTGCCTAAAAGGCTTTAGATCAATAACAGAAGCACTGTGCTTTTTAAGAAAGGCACTTTTTTCTTCTTCAAAATAGAAAAAAAAAAAAAATCACAGTGTGCTACAGTTTGAAATATAATACTAAAACACTGTGTTTTCTCCACTACAAAAAGTTAAAGTCTGACATTCTTACAATACTAAATGTGTTTCTCCTGCCAAGGAACACATCCAGCAGGTGAGACGAAGTAGTCAACAGAAGGATTTGTTGCATTTTTGCCACAACAGATGCATTGTGTTCCCTTCGATGATCCACTGTTTGAAAAGACCCAAACCCTTGATTCCTCCAGGTTCCCTCAGCTATGCTGTGGTCATTGTCCTCCCAGTCTGCAAAGGCTGGAGACCTGTGCTCACGGAGGAAGTTATGCATGCATAGGGAGGCCATATTTTTACTACCTTCTAAGCATATGGTGTTCCTAAAACCTCTTAACCTGTTGGCAAGAATGTCAAATGCTTTCTCTATGAATGTATTCTCTTTAATTCACAGCCCTGTGCGGCATCTGTGCTCAGTGTGGTAGTGCTGGAGGTGTTACGGCCAACACAGACTGGCTGAGGTCTTCTAGTTAAAAAGTCCAGGATCCAATAACAGAGGGTGGTGTTAAAGGGGTCATCGGATGCTCATTTTCCACAAGTTGATATGATTCTTTAGGGTCTTAATGAAAAGTCTATAACATACTTAGGTCTATAACATTAATGAAAAGTCTATAACATACTTTGGTTAAAATATCTCAATGGTAGTGTAAAAAAACACCCTTTTTACCTTGCCAAAAACAGCTCTTCTCAGAGCAAGCTGTTTTGTTGCATGCCGCTTTAAATGCTAATGAGCTGTGCTTACCCTCTCTTCCGTGGGGTGACTAGCCATTCTCTGAGAGACTGTAATCTTTAGCCGCATTCGTCTCGGAACTTGCTAACTAGCACGTTATTGGGAAAGGCGATTTGCAAAGATTCATAAAGAAATCTTATACTCACTTCTGTAGGTGAAGCTGGATCACGAATGATTCGTGCGAAGATAGAAATCTTTAAGTCCTTTCAATCCACAAGCTTTTGAAATCTTGATGTCAAAATCCAGTATTTTTCCAAAAATCCCTGGCCCCTAAGGGGTTAAACTCATTGAGTGCATCTGGGAGGGATGTGTCGTCATCACAGGCCTGTGGCAGGGGCTTTGTAGTCGGTGATGGTCTGAATGGCTTGCCACAGACTCCACTTGTCTTTGCTGTCAGTGAAGTGATTACTGATTTTTTATGCATAAAGGCATTTTGATTTCTTTTTTTTGCCACAGGACAGGTTGGCTCTTGCTGTTTTGAGGACTGCTTTGTCTCCTGATCTGAATGCGTCATCTCAGGTCTTTAGCAGCTTACGAACCTCTGCAGTTATCCGTGGCTTCTGATTGGCACGTGTGGTGATGTTTTTGGCGACTGTCACATCATCAATGCACTTTTTGATGTAAGCAGTCACTGTTTCAGTGTACTCCTGTAAGCAGGCCTAGAGCCTATTTACAATAAAAAAATCTGAATGATGAAAAATATTTTTTTATCAAGTATACAAATGCATATGGCTTGTCTGTTGGGCATTTCTCAAATGGTAAGTGCCTAGGCAACATTGCTCAAAAAAATTGCCCTGTGTACCATCAGCCTAAGTGTGTGTGTGTTTAATTTGTGGACTTAGAACTCATGTTTAATGTGATAGTTTTGTTGTGGTGGCAGTAAATATTTGATATGGATCTGTCACTAATTTAGGTGCACCTCAGTGTCAGACAAAGAAAAGAAGAATGTGTTTAGCATTTAACAACAAGCGGTTATAAAGTTCAGTCGAACATCTGTGTGGTTTGAGCCGATACAAATAGTGAGTTTTCAACAAACACCACAAGGTTTTTTTTCAGTGGTGACCACTGCCTCACTGCACTGCTAAACACATTTTTGCACATGTGAAGGGATGATATTTGATGTAGATACTGGAACACAAGCAAAGTACAAAGCCGTGTTTACCCAGTCAACACGTGAGATCATGCGATGATCACAGTGACAGCACACCATTCTCGTACGGTGATACTCACAGTGTGAGTAATATGTGAGCTCATTGTGAATTCAAAATGTTGAGCAGGTTGAGAGGAGGCAGTTCAAATATCGGTCACCGAGGAGGCTTTCTATATCCTGTTTCTCAACACTATCACAGTGATATCACAGTGCTCTCACAGTATAAGTGCACACTCAGCTAACAGTTTTTGTTATAAGAACCTTCTCCAAACATACAACTGACTTCCAGACACAGCCTTCCATGAAATCAACTGAAATACAAAAGACATTCAATCTTTCATGATCTCATCAGAGAATGATTAAACAACTCCACAAACAGCATCACCAGCTTCACTCATTATTAACCAGACTGACTTTATTTCTGTCAGACATCTACAAAAGCACTTATTGAGAATGAACAGAGATTAAGATGATGATGTTTTATTGTTTCATTTGACGCTACCATCAAGGTGATTAGTGTTTGCTTTAGTTATAACATTATATTTTTTTGGGCTTTTGTAACTGTGTTTGTAAAGCACAATTGTTATGTCAAGAAATACCAAAAAGAAACTGCAACTAGGTGATATCGGTTTGGTTTTGATGATAGCAACACAATCATCACCTAGATTCAGTACGCAGTCTTTGTGAGAAGTTATTAATCTAAAGTTTCTAATTATAATAGCTCTTTGATTATACAGTATAGGATCCAACAGTGTAATAATTTAGGAAGGATTTTAAACGCATTATAATTCACAATCATTTTGAACTGCTTTGTCATTTAAAAACAAAGAGAAACATCAAGAATCAGTGAATGAATCTCAACAATGGTGACAATCAAAAGCTTCATGCTGCAATGCATGCTGGGTACCTAGTCTCTGTGCAGTGAGTGCACTTTGACCTCACATTAGTATGAGCACACATTGAGGGCGCTGTGAGGTTACACTTTTAGCTCACTGTGACCTCACATTGTGACATGTTGAGCAGGTTGAGAGGAGGCAGTTCAAATATCTATCACCGAGGAGGCTTTCTATATCCTGTAAGAACCTTCTCCAAACATTCAACTGACTTCCAGACACAGCCTTCGATGAAATCAACTGAAATACAAAAGACATTAAATCTTTTGTGATCTCAGCAGAGAATGATTAAACAACTACACAAACAGCATCACCAGCTTCACTCATTATTAACCAGAC